GCTTTTCTGCATGATGTCTTCCACATAACTGCTCAGTCAACAGACAAGAGTCATTTGGTTGAACACAGCGCACACTTCAGTGAGTACTCACGCTTTGAGTGCATTCCTTCCTTTGGAAAAGAATTCAGAAGGTCATACTGTCACACAAAATTGATGTGGCTGGCTGTGTTTTCAAATGACGACATTCCAGGATGTAGATATGGGCAGTGCTCCCCTAGTAATGTTGGAATTTTCTACTCAGTCAAAATTTAAACAAAAAAGTTTAGGGAAAAGAAACTTTGCCAGAATCAACATGTGAAGTAAAGGCAGAGATACCAGCCCAGAGGTCATGCACTGGACAGTGTGTGATTGGCGGATGCAGTCACACCTGCACTGGACAAGTCTGAGAGTATCAGGTCTACAATCAACAATTCAGAGGCCCGGCAGCTGCTTTTGCCATGTGCTCTCTTGATTGAACCGGACATTTCCATCTCACTAGTGCAATATGTTTGCTTCCACACATAGACAAGTCAAGACTGAGCTGCTAGGCAGGTTCTGAGTGGAATAGCCAGGCCTACTCTCTAAAGCCCCTCCCCCCAGCCCCTGCCATAGGGCCCAGGAGGAGTGACCCACTTTCACACTTGGAACCCTCTGTGGGTGTGTTCAGTTCCCACGGGCTGTGCTTTAACTCTGGTGGCTTTCTTTCCTACTCACAATTTAGAGGGTATTTCTCTTTTATTTACCAGAAGTACCAAATAAAGGAGAAGAAACCACTGAGCTGAGCGGGCTTGGCTTACAGTGCTTCACGGGACAGAATGCTATGCAAAATTCTGGATTTGCTCCTAAGCAACAGAGAGCCATGTTCCCCTGAACTGGGGCTCCTTGTTAGGACCAGGCACTTTCACCTCAGCAGCTTGGCCTCCCGGGAACAGAGGCATGTCTTGCCTGGCTTACAGGCGTATTGACTTTAGTGTGTCTTCAGATGAACCGTGTGCATGGAGGTTATTTTCTGGCCCTAACCCCCCTGGTTGTAAACGTTCCCAGATACTTCACATCGGCTGAGGGTCCAGGGCTTTACCTAACTAGCCCTGCCAGCTGCTGGCAAAGTGAAATTAGAAGGATTCAGAGTGCTTGCTTTGAAAACCCAGGGTGGCTTTGCCCATTTGCTGTGATGGAGGCGTGTGAGTTCTGGAACACGCATGGGACTGGATGTGGGCCTCCTCAGCTCCCTCCTTGCTACTCTGCGACAATAGCATCTCCTGACTCACACCCGGCATCCTCCTGCACTATCGCGAGACTGGTACAGAGCCAGCAACCAGGAATCTCATTCCTTCTCATCATCAGTCTCCTCCAGCACAGAGGCAACAGAGGCCTCCCACCCAGACTAGATTCCATCATACTCCACCCACAGTAGCTTTGGAGCTCACGCCTGTCGTGATGTAGCCAGCCTTTGTGCTGTGTAACTCGACCATGTTTCTTTATCCTGGTCTCTTTACCCTTCAGGTGGCTCAAAGCATATCCCCTGGGATAGAATGCAGACAACATGTTCTTACGTAGAAGTGTCTCCCTTTGTCGGGTTTGGGATCTGCACCCTCAGCCATATGCCAGAGTCTGAAGGACACAGCGGTTGGGGCTGTAGCCAGTGATAAAGGATGTGCTTCTGCGTGCACAAGCCTGGGATTCTATCCCCACCACCACAGGGGGGAAACAAAGCAAGACTACATAGTTACTTTTATTTATGGAACATTATGAGACTGAGATCAAATTTTCCTTTCACCAAAAAAAAAAAAAACATGAAGTTTACCACTCCCAGCCCAGTAGTTACCTTCACTGCTGTGATTAATCCCCAGCACACTAGAGACCACATGCCAGATGGCAGGGTCTTGCACACCACCATGTTCCCCGATGGATTCTGTGGTTACTCTGCCCGTGACACTGAGATGCAGACCCAGGGTATCTGCTGCGTCATCTCCAAGTGACTGGTCTACACTGTAAAGTTCAGCCTCTCTCTCCAGAGCTGTACAGCTGTGCCCCTGACAGCAACTCCCCTCGTAAAGTCTGGGAGCAGATGCTAATGATTTAGTGAGAGCAACCACCACATTACTTCCAGCTGTTGGCTAGCACAGGTAGCAGCCATCAAGTGTGCCTATTATTATCCTAGAATACCAAAAGCTTTTGTTGGTTTCCCCCTTGCCTGGAGTCTTCCCACAAGACCTTTGGATTGTTTTGGTTTCCTCCCATTACTATTTAAAAACTGTTACAGAAATTGGGAATGGCCAAGGAGAAAGGGACAAAGTGGAAATGGAAAGAAAAGGGAATACGAAGCAGTTACAAAGTTTGAACGTAATCCTTTCCTGCTGACTTTATAAATGTCTAGCAGTGTCTAGGACGGGTGTCAGTCTCAGGAGTGAGTGAAGAAAGCAATAATAAAAGCAGCAGGGAGATTTTTTTTCCTAGGGAAAGCTCCTAGAAGATGCATTGGTATTCCCTAGTCTTGTGAATTCAGAGCATGTTTATTTGGCATTTCAGAGGAGACGGAAGTCTGCTTTCACAGCTAGTCCAGTATGCAGAAAGGCTAGGCCATGATGTTAACATTGTGTACCTTTATTCATAACAGAGTGAAACTGGAAGAGATGATAGCAAAGAAAAGCATAGTCCAGCAAGAGGGTTAATGTTACCTGATCACCCCTTCTCTTACTCGGAGAAAAAATTTCCTAAGTACAGAAAAGGCAGGAGCCAATAGTCTGCCATCCTGTGGTTTTAGAGCAGAAATGGGTTGTAGGAATTGTATCCAGCTAACTCAGTCCCCTGAAAGGCATCTCTGGGTGCCTTGGCAGCATCACTTTGATCCTTAGGCATAGCTCTGAGGCCCTCTTCATTCTTCCCCAGCTTTCTGGCATTTGTCACCTACACAGTGGCATTTAAGTGTTAAATGTAACCAATGGTGGTGGCACTAAAGGGAAGAATCCTTTCTTGTTCACCACACATGGATATAGGTGGCAAACGGAAGGCCTGATATTTGATCATAGGTTTACATTATGTGAGAACCTTTGGATTAAAAAGTCGGAGACAAGGTGAACTAGCTTTTTGATGCTTAGACTGGATGATGTGCTGAGAGTCATTAAAATGTATGATGGAACTAAAGGAGTGTGTCCTAAGGGCACACTGAGGGAAGTCCAGCATGCCTCTAGTCATATCCTTCCTCCTGGCTGTGAGCGCCCCCTTCTGGAATGAGGATTACCACCTACAGTCAAGCAGGGTAGATAGAGAACTTTATTATGGCCCACCCTTCTCAGAGTTAGATTTTTGAGATTTTGTGACTCCTTCCGGGGAAGTGGGTTGTGGGTTCTATCATTGGTTGGGGGCAGAAGTGGGTGTCTGGCTTCTTTAGATAAGCAGTAAACGATAGAGAGAAGGGAGTTACAGAGAAAAGTATTTGTAAGGCCTGCAGTGACAGCCTATTGAGGCAGTCTGGGGCCATCCATCCCTCTCTCTCATGTCCTATATTGGTCACTGTGAGGTTGCCTCCCAGCCCTGTCTTGCAGTTGCTCCAGGGTCCACTCAATGGAGGAATGAGATACTGTCTTTTCTCCAAGACAGTCCGTGGGTCTTCTGCCTAGTGAGATGGACCCTGAGTAGGAGATTGGCCAACATAGAGACTCAAGGAGTTCCTTCAAGCGATTTCATTCAAATTACATTCAAAGAAGGAATCTCATTTAATTTTCATGGGAGGAGGTTGGTTATTGTGTTTTATTTTATTTTATTTTTCTCCAAATTGAGGTATCAGAATAGAACTGCACAATTAAAGAAAATCATTATGTAGTCGTCGCCTTGGGGTTTCTCAAATATTGCATAGGAACGCATTTTTATTAGAACAAATCCCTCTGCAGATTACCAAAATTGGCTCCAATAAAGTAGGATGGATTTTATTTAGAGATGAAGTGTTTGGGAAGATTATCAAGAGAAATACCAGTTATTTCCTTCCTGTCATCATGTTCTCACATGAGAGAAAAAAAAATTCAGTAACATCACCCTGTATATTGTGCACATTTGTAACTCAATATGTCAGTTAGATGTATTGCACTCTTAATAATCCTAATTATAGTGAGAATGCTGATGAGGTCATTCTCTGGCTGTTTTGGAATGCTGATGGTTGGTAAAGTAGGCTCTCCTACTAGCAAAAGGAAACAAGATGTTTCACACTTGTCAAGTATGAGACATTATGGAGCATTTCATTATTAACTTTTCACTCCTATGGTTCCCATCCAAGTATTTCTATAATAGTTATTTTTTTAACTCAAAAAAGAAATGCATTTTAATGAGGTAAACTTCACGTGCATTATTAGTTTCCAGAACAGTGCTTAGAACTACTGCCTGCCGAAAACAAACTGAATCAGTTTGTAGCATTTGCTTGTTTGTTTCTTGCCATTCCCGTTTCACACTACCTTTCGAGTTTTTGAATCATTAATAATTGCTTCCAGTCTTACTGACAGATTGGTCATAAGCAGTCACAAGTTTTACTTCACTGCAAAAGGGACTCAGCAGCGCAAATTGCCCAAGTCGCCGCTAAAGCAGATGGAGGTCCTGGGAAGCCCCTAGCACTTAGTAACGAGCTACACAGAACGGAACAGGGTTTGGCTGAACCCTCTCCGTTCTCCATTCACGAGTATTTCCTGGGTCTCGCTCTAAGTGATGCCAGCCAGGCGTGTTCAGAAGGCGGTTCTCACCAATGGGGAGGCAGCTGGAAGAGTTCCTTGGGAAGCCTCAGTCCCTTTCTTTCTGGCGAACGCTCACATTTGACTGCTGCCTGAGAGGGCGCAGGCCCCAGGAGAGGTCCCGGTTGCCCTCCTTGCGCGGTTAACCGGGAATTGCCAGCTGCAGGCTTCGCTGACCTGGGGGGGGGGGGGCTGTCGGCGTGCGGGGGTGCCTCGGAGGTGGGAGCACTGCGGGATTTCTTCTGTTGCTAGAGCCGTGATGTCACCCGCCCCTCCTAACCCGCGGTTGGTTGTTTTGTGTTTCAGCTCTGCCTGCAGTTGAGCACAAAGACCTGAAGGAGACTCCCACCGCCTTGAGAGAGAAGAAAGGAGGCAGCCAAGCCCATTAAAAGGAACTTGTGGCTTGTGGCCCTTTTGTGCAGGGGCAGCCTGGAAGGGGAGAAAAGTGTGCTGAAGCCACAGCGGCGGCTAATGAGCTGTGAGATGAGGAGCAGCTGCGGCTGACACTGCTTCCAGGATCCTTCGTCTGCCCTTTGTGCTTCGTGTACATGTGTCTGTTCAGGCCGGCCAGAGGCGCCCAGAAGAGCATCCACCACGGCTGCCGGGGAAAGACCGCCCACCATGCCCACGGAGACGCTACAGACAGGTAGCATGGTGAAGCCGGTCAGCCCCGCGGGCACCTTCACATCGGCGGTACCCCTCCGCATCCTGAACAAAGGACCCGACTACTTCCGCAGGCAGGCTGAGCCCAACCCCAAGAGACTCAGTGCAGTGGAGAGGCTAGAGGCTGACAAGGCCAAGTATGTCAAGAGCCAGGAGGTGATCAATGCCAAGCAGGAGCCGGTAAAGCCGGCCGTGCTGGCCAAGCCCCCGGTGTGCCCAGGAGCCAAGCGCACACTGGGCAGCCCCACTCTCAAGGTGTTTGGCAACCATGCCAAGACTGAGAGCGGTGTGCAGCGTGAGACCCTCAAACTCGAGATCCTCAAGAACATCATCAACAGCTCCGAGGGCTCCAGCTCTGGCTCTGGCCACAAGCACAGCTCCCGAAACTGGCCTCCTCACAGGGACACCACTGACCTGCACCGACACTCCTTTGCCGAGTCTCTGAAGGTGTACCCTACGCCAGGGCGAGGCAGCCCCCAGGAGAGTAGCTCCCATGTGAGCAGGAGACTGCTGGAGCAGTCTGCGGAGTCCTTCCTGCACGTCTCACACAGCTCCTCGGACATCCGCAAAGTGACCAGTGTGAAGCCCCTTAAAGCCATCCCCTGCAGCAGTTCGGCCCCTCCCCTGCCTCCCAAGCCCAAGGTGACTGCCATGAAGTCCCCCGAGGCTGACCAAGTGGAACCGGCCTGTGGGGTCAGCCGGAGACCTTCCCTCCAGAGATCCAAGTCAGACTTGAGTGACAGGTATTTCCGAGTAGATGCAGACGTGGAGAGGTTCTTCAACTACTGCGGACTCGACCCGGAAGAGCTGGAAAACCTTGGCATGGAGAACTTTGCAAGGGCCAATTCTGACATCATATCCCTCAACTTCCGCAGCGCAAGCATGATCAGCTCAGACTGTGAACAGTCTCAGGACAGTAACAGTGACCTTAGAAACGATGACAGTGCCAATGACCGGGTGCCATATGGCATTTCTGCCATCGAAAGAAATGCTAGAATCATCAAGTGGCTATATAGCATCAAACAGGCTAGAGAATCACAGAAGGTGTCCCACGTGTAAGAGGCGCGGTGCTGGAAAGGCGGGAGGGGCGGGTCTGTCTGTGCATACACAGTTGTGAAGGTTGTGAGGTCTCCTTGAAGTGTTGTGACCTTCTCCACTCTTTGTGTTGCTTGTTGTGCACTGTTCTCAAGTTGCATGCCTGTCAACATGGCACCTGGCCTGGCTTCCTTCTCACAGCTCTGCAGAGTCTTGCTGAACACTTCATCTGCCAAAAGTTTCCAGCCAGAATCTGACTGACTAGGGCTTTGCTCTGAATCAAAACTGTTTACAGGAGAAAGAAAAAGAGAAAAAAAAAAAAAAGTTTTCAATTTCTTCAATATTTATGTGGTTCTTGTGTTTTTATACCCTGCGCTGTTGTGTCTTAATTAAAAGTTTTATCAACTGGCTTTTAAGTTGAACACAGAATCTTTTTGAAATAAAAAGCCACTTTGCCTACACGGGAGATCATAACACTGGGGAAATGTGTGGGACTCGCTACCAGAAAATGACTGACAGGACAGGGCCAGGCTAGAGTTTTTCATGTGGAATCAAGTGGCGGGCCTTGCCCTTGTGTTCATTCACACGGTGCCATCCACTTGCCACAGTGCTGCCCTGTGTCCAATTCAGTGTATATGTTGGTGGTATTTTTGTAGTACTGACCCCAGGAAAGACAATCAGATAAAACCCATGATGAGCAAATGTAGGAGGTTGATATTGGGAGGAGGGTGGGGAAGCAGTCAATGCTGTTCAAACTAGGATAATCCAGAAAAAAATATCTAGTATTAATCTGACAGGCAGAACCACCTAAAGCTGATTAAAGCTGATACTGGACTTAATGAAGTTACTTTGTGGGATCTTATTTGTTTTTGTTGTGCTTTGGGCCAAGAACTTTTAGCACACCACATGTTGTTTCTCTCCCTTGCTCCCTTTGTAGTTGTCCTATTTAGGGCGGGTTGCTTGTGCCTCTGCAGGTTTGCACTGAAGACATGAAGGGAAGTAAGATCACCATCCATCAGTACAGTCTCCCATCCGGCAGTGGTCTGTGTGGAAGCAGGGTCAAACTCAACAGTGTGATTCTGTCATCTCGTTTATACTCTTCTCTCGGGCTGTGGGTAATTGTTACAGCTCTAGAAAACTGTAGAAACACTGTAGCTTTCCACCTTGTTGTTTCTTGTTGCCTCTTCCCCAATAACCTTCCCTCCAGGTTATTTTAGGAGCTGGGAGCCAGCTGCCAAAGCTCTGGCAATGGAAGCCGAGGAAGGCAGTGGTCTGCTTGAGTGCTCTGGCAACCCACAGGCTCTGGCAGAACCACCTCAGTTTAGTCTTCATCAGCTACTGGGAGCCTTTAAGTGGTGTGAATGCTGTAAGACTTTGTACATACTTCAGCTGTTCTGGAATCTAAGAAGAAAAGATATGCTAATAAATAGCTCTGATGTAGGCTCTACCTGTGGTGATTCCGCTTTGTCCTTTTTTCTTCACAAATAGCTCACTTTGGGCTGTGGGCCACAAGCTCATTTCTTATAGTCTTACAAGAAACATTAAATTGCTGCCACCCTATCTCAGTGATTCTGAGCAGCACTAGTATTAATTGTAGCTGCTTTGATGTGAGTTTGCTAAAATAATTGCCGTGAGGCCCCTAAAATATGCTGTCACTTCACTTTATCTTAGTCACACTTTTTATTTTTGCCTTTCCTTAAACATCAGGACTTTTCACATTTTCCAGAAGACTCTTCGGGTGAAATATTTGAGTTCTTGCTGCAGAGTCATATCTTTGAAATGACAAGCACTATTTTCATTTGTTCAGGCTCAACATTGATACCACTCTGGGTGGCCACATATTTGCCCTCTTACTCATCTTTCAAAGTGGCCAACCGTGGACCACCATGGTCATCAGCCTCTGCCTCAGAGGACTTAGAAGTACTACTCCTCAGGGGCTGTGCCCTTCCTCCTGTTACTTGAATGCTAAGTATTCAATGAGTATTTATTGAATCAAGCCATTTGGAGAAAATGTCTTCTAAGGTTAAGGCTACACTTAAAATGAAAATTTATGGAAGCGTTATAAAAATTTAATTTTCAAAAACAATAATGATTATCAAACTATTTTTTGACAAATATTTTCCTCCTGAAAGGCAAATTTGGTTCTTTGATTCTTCCTACTTCTCTCTTGATGTGGCCTGCAACTAGAATCCTGGTTTTCCAGAAGACACATTTGGGAATGTAGCTGTGAAAGGTGAAGATACACATTCACATTAATAGAGTAAGAAATTGTCTAAGCAAAAATAAATAAATAAATAAATAAAAGTTTCCTTACAACTTATTTAGAAATGTGACTTTTTAAGATGTAGGTGCCTTGCCATTTACATATCCATTTTGAGAACTACTAAAATACTGGAAATAAATGCGATTTATTTTCCTAAGGAAGCCATCCTTGGGGAGTTGAGCATATCACTTCTCAATGCTAGTTTAGTTGTAGATTGTCCTTGCAACCTCCAGTATCTACTTACCCCTAAAAATCAGTGCAGTCTCCTGGCCTCATTTTATAAAGGACAAAGGGAGGCTTTCTGCTCCTATGAAACGGAAGAGCTCCTTTTCTGTAATGCATCCTGCCTATAAAACACTGTTTCAGAAGTTTAATATGAAATCCCAGGAGACATTTCTACAAAGTCTGCCTTCTTCCAGCTCCTGGAAGTTTTATGTAGGCATGCACTCGTGATATAAGGTGATTGCACCCGAATCTTACAGACAGTTCTAAAGTATCCATCACAGTGCTGTTGCCTTAGTTTGGGCTTTCCCCATCTCACCTGAAGTATTGTTTCTAATACTTCCTAGATGGGAGCCTCCCAGACAGCCCCACCCATCGGACTGTCACACCTCTATGAAACAAACAGTCTCCTGATGACAAGTTAGTTGTCATTAGGAACATTTTTCTGCTGAACTTATGATGCATAGTGTAATAAATTGCCCCAGAAATCAACAACTTAATACAATAAGAGCTGTCTGGACTGGCTCAGCCAAATGGTTCCTGACAGGATGTTTCATGAAGCCGTTGCCAAAATGGTGGCTGAAGTTGCATCAGCATCCACAGGCTAGAGGGGTACCATCTAATATGGTTTCCATGGCAAGTGGTCTCCATTCCTCACAAGAAAATGCTCTCCTGCATTAGTTGGGATTCTCCAGAAGAACAAAACATATAGAATGAATATGTGTACACACACACACACACACACACACACACACACACACCACACACAGAGGCACACGTTGGATTTATTAGAATACCTTGCAGGCAATGGTCAAGCTCTTACAACAATGGCTATGTACCAACAGAAAGCCCCAAAATCCACTCGTTGTTCAGTTCACAAGGGCTGGATGTCTCCGCTGCTTTTTCTTATACACTGGGATCAAGGCAAGAATGTAGGTTCTAATACTAGTGAAAGAATGGACTTGCTAGTGAAATTGAACAGGCAAAGAGAGAAAGCTTCTTTCTTCCATGTACATAAACTGACAGCAAAAAGTGTTTCTCATATTAAAATTGCATTGTCCCACCCTAAAAGATCTGGATTAAAGGTGGATCTTCCCAACTGAAAGATCCAGATTAGAAGTGGGTCTTTCCATTTCAAACAATTTAATTAAGGGGGGAAAATCCCTTACAGGTATGCCCAGCCCACGTGCTGTCAAGTTATCAATCAAGAATAGCCAATCCATCTCCTTAGGGTTTCCTGGGAGTCTTTAATGATGTATCTGACTTCTGCAATGGAAATGACTAAAGAGTGATTCAAGGAGAGATAGCCCTGTCCTGAGTCCTACATCTCTGCCTCGACCAGAGCATTAGAAGATATGGATCCCTCAGCCCACATAAGGAGGAGAGTGAGGGTATGCTTTGTGGATGAAGCTTTGGGTTTGGATTTTTTTTTTATTTCATTTTGTTTTAATTTGATGGTTCCAGGACTTGAACACATAGCCGTGTACGTGCTAAACAAAAGCTTTACCACTGAGCTGTATCTCCTACAAGGACCAATGCTAACAAGAATGCCCAAGAATTTGTGGCCATGATTTTAAACTGTGTGCTACTGAGGCTAAGTAGTCGGTCATTTAGTGAGGCATGTTCCCTCTCCCCTTGCTCTTTGATACTTGCTCTTTGAAGACAACACTACATTCAATAATATTTTAGTAGTCTCTAGGCAATCACCCTACCAGCTTGTAATTTTTTTTATCATGGCCACAAACCCAGCCTGTGCAAGCCTAAACAACGCCTTTATAAAGTATACCTTCCTGGTAGCTCTATTCCTTATGAGAGAGGAAAAAGACTACCCCAACAAACACAGGGATCTTGGGTGACAGCCTCGATTTCACAGTGTGGAACACAGAACCCAGGAAATAGAATGGATGCTTAACATGTGTTTGCTGGTTGTGGTGGGTTTGTTTTGCAGCAGCAGTGGGCAGTGATGGGGTGCTTTTCTTCATTTGAGGATCCTTTATCAAAAAAAAAAATGCTTGGGCTCAGAGTGCTTAGAATTTTTAGCTTTGGAGATTTTTGTATAGACTTTACTAGTTGAGGGTCATAATGTAAAAACCTGCAATCTTAAATGCCCCAAAATAGGAAACTTTGAGCATCAAGTTGCTCTCTAATTCCAGAGCATTTCTGATTTTGAATTAGTTCTATTCCCCTTGCATCATGTTTAACTTACAGCCTACATTAGAACCCCAGGGGGCACCAAGGTTTAGCCCACTTTAGAGGCAAAGAACTTCAGCCCCAGGAAGAGTAAGGTGTTCAGCAAAGCAAGTGCTGGGATGGACTTGAACTCAACACAGCAATCCCAACCCCACTTGTCTGTGAGCACTTTTCAAAACTAGGGAAGATAGACAAGACAGAAGGGATCTTCAGCTCATTCGACCATTGAATCTGCTAGGGTGTGTAAACATGTTAAATGTGCCTCAGATTCCAGCAATTCCATTCTCACCTAAATGGGAGCTCATAAATCCAGAAAAAGACTTCAGCTGCTCCAATATGAGTAGCACACAGCCACGGAGTTCAGAGAGACAAGGCCATTGGGGAGGCATTCTTCCTTGCCACATTTTTAAGTGGCATCCTGTCTTTTTTGGATCAAGCACGTTTGGAAGGCTAAACAGCAGAGACAGATAGCCACAAATCTACAGTCAGGAAACACAATGGATTGTTTGAGGAGCCAGCATCCTTCTGTTCTCCTAACCTTGAGGATGGGTGCTGTTCTGGCCAACAGACAGATACACTGGGTAATGATTAAAGAGGTCAAGAATGTCCCGGTTAAAGCTGAACTGGTTCTGAACTCACTAAAAAGGACTGATCTCACCTAACTCATCCACTTATCACCTCAGAAAACAGCTGGGAGGTCTGCCATTGCTGCAAGGCTGCCTGACACACACCACA